AAATTATACTTCAAACGCGTATATGAGTAGATGCAACGCGTAAAATGAAATTCCGGCTCTGGCGAGGTACCGCGTAAATGTAGAATCACGTAAAGCGAAACCGCGTAAATCGGGGTATTACTGTACATTCAACCCTCACTTTACGCGGTTAATATAACCCACAGGGTACCGCGGAAAGTGAGAAACGCGTAAAATGAACAACATAACATATGGGATTAATTGAAATAGAGACCGGGCCGACCCCCAAACTCCACTTTTTGACGACACACAACTAAGTTGTAGTAAAAATTTTATCTTAACTTTATGATGGTATGCACAAACAATTAATATAGAAGAGGTTAGGTTAGGAAAAATAAAGGTTAAGTTAGGAAAAATAAAGGTTAAGTTAGGAAAAATAAAGGATAGGTTAGGAAAACTAAAAGTTAGGTTGAACACTTACGTTAGTAGAAGAGATGGGTCGGCATACGGGGATGGAAGCTGGTTCCGAGGCAGAGGGCAGGCTACTGGCACTCAGGTGAGTAACCATCACTGTCATCCACACTTGTCAGGGCCTCCCTGACAAATCCCTCAAAGTCATCTTCACTGTCTTTACCTCTGTCACTATCACTGGCTTGGGCTGGCTGTGGTGGGTTGCGGGTGAAGAACTCTGTTATGCTTTGCTGACGGCTAGTGTTTATGTTGTCGTGATAAACCTTGAAGTAGGGCTCCATAGTCTGCAACAGCTGGGTAGTGAAGATTTCATACCTGTTTGCGTCATGGTCGTCGGAAAGGAGGAGCTTGATTTTCTCAACACACTCGATGGCACCCCTAACATTACTATGGGATAAGCGGTGTTCTTCTTGGGATGACACACCACCTGCCTCTTCACTGACGTCAACTACCATCTCGTCGGTAGTCACATCAGGATCCCTCATCACCTCCAGGATGTCGTCGTTGGTGGTCTCGGAGAAGCCTGCAGCTGTAACACTCTGCGCAGCTTCTCTGGCAAGGTCCACTGCTACTGCAACAGTCTGAACCTCACCAGTCACAGATTGACTCTGCCTTACGCTCGGAATGCCTTGCAACACATGTCTCCATGCGTGACGAACAGTTGCTACAGACAGCTGATCTCATGCCTCCACCAAGAAGTCCACAGCTTTCTTGATGTTGAATATTCTCCAGAATTGTTTGACAAGTATTTTTTGCTATCGGTGGTGGTGTCACTCAGGTTACGCAACTCTTCCCTGGTGTTGGTGTAGTCGTTCAGGAGCTTGAATTTTTTTGTTGAGAATGCAGCTTTTACATTACAGATTAACTCTTGGTCCATGGGCTGTAATATAGACGTAGTGTTGGGAGGAAGGAAGACCACTTTTACGTTGGGGTGACGATCTAACAGTTGGGGCGAGGGTCCTGGTGCGTTGTCCAGCAGCAACAAAATCTTGAATGGCACATTCTGTTGCTCACAGAATTTCTTTACATCGGGAACGAAACAGTCATCAAACCAGGAGAGGGACAGTGTAGAGAACATCCACGCCTTACGTGCGGTCAGCCAGTGGACATTTAGCTTGGTCATGCCCATGCTCTTGTAGGCGTGCGGCTTGCGGGCTGTGTGGATCACCGATAACTTGAGCTTACAGGTACCGGAGGCATTGGTGGTAAACAGGACGGTGATGCGCTCCTTCTGCATCTTCCGGCCCCGAATCTTGCTGGCATTCTTCACAACGAAGGTCTTGGAAGGTAGCTTTTTCCAAAAAAGACCAGATTCGTCCATGTTAAACACCTGTTCGTCGGTGTACTGTCCTTCCTCCATAATCTCACGTAAAAACGGAGGAAATTCCCTAGCCGCAGCACGGTCAGCACTAGCTTCTTCACCACCAATGTTTATATTGGTGATCTTGTTCCGCATCTTAAACCTCTGTAACCACCCAGAGGAAGCATTAAAGGGTTTGGGCTCTGTAATTCCCATCTTTCGTGACACTGCAGCATACAGTTCACGTGCGTACTCCTTAACAGAGGGCGTGTCGACTGCCATGTTCCGTCGCGCCTGACGCACCAAGTAGCTCACAAGTAATTTTTCCGTCTTGAGAAGCATCTGGTTGTGGAAATACTTGATCATAGAAACACCTGTAGACTCTGTGATCTTCATGTGCTCCTTTATCTTGGCTGCATCCTTCTTTATCGTCCGGATCGTAGATTCGTTCACACCATGCTGGCGCGCCAAATCAACCGGTCTTGTTCCTTTCTCTAACTCTTGGATGATCTTGTACTTCACCTCGTAGCTTAAGGAACGTCGTGTCTTCTTGGGCTTAGGGCGGCTGGGTCCAGGTAAGGAAAGGTTTCTCTCTGGGGGCGGTGGTCCGGCGGAAGCCATTTTACAGAACAATGGATGCACGATTACACGGTGTGGCCTGGAGGGATGAAACTGCCGCGGCTAGGTCAAGCGTCGTCATTCCTTCCTCCCTCCCTCCCCCGGGTGGACACGTCATATTACTTTAAACCCAGTACAGCTAGCAACGGAGGGAGGTAGGGATGCATGGCCAATCACAGTCCGATACGTCATATGACGTCAGTGATAACGCAACAGAGACATGCACTGCGCAACCTTACCGCACGGCTTGGCCAGGTGGAGGCGGAGGAGGGAGGAGGTGGGAACAGGTGGGTGGGGCGAATCTAAAAATAGCATCGAGCCGGACACTCTCCGCGTAAAGGGGCACACGCACCGCGGAATGTGAGCATCCTGGGTTCCGGCAGGGTACCGCGTAAACGTGGAAACGCGGAATGTGGGACCGCGTAAAGTGAGGGTTGACTGTATATGTAAAATGAATAATGCAATTCATTAATAATACGTAGAATATTAAAACACACACAAGGAGACAAGACGGCATTGTTTTCGTGAGTGACGATGGTTCTACATAAGAAACTGAAGAAAATAAGACCCTGGTTGTAACTGTAGTGAACTTAATGTAAAAAAAAATGAATACAGTATCGTCTCCATTTACACGGTCAATTGAACCCTTGGAGGTCCGCGTAAAACGAGAAATGCGTAAACGAAATAACAGAACATATGGGATTAATTGAAATAGAGACTGGGCCGACCCCCAAACTACACTTTTTCCGACACAATACGTACGTTGTAGTAAAAATAACATCTTAATTTTATGATGGTATGTACACACAATTAATATTTAAGATAAATATCAATAATATTAGGTTTTTTAACACTTACGTTAGTAGAAAAGATGGCTGAGCACAAGGGGATGGGGGGTTGGTTCCGAGGCAGAGGGCAGATTATTGGCCCTCACCTGTATCAATTGTATCAATTGTATCACTATTCACCACAGAGGCTTGCAGGGCCTCTTTGTCAAACCCCTCAAAGTCCATATCCTCACTATCACTGACTTGGGCTAGCTGTGGTGGGTAGCGGGTGAAGAACTCGGTTATTTTCTGTTGACTGGGCGACCTTGTGCGCACCCTGCCCGCGCCGCTTCCCGCGTAAATGATGGAATGAACCGTGTAATTAAAAACTGTCGGTCTGGCAAGGTGCCGCGTAAATGACCAACCGCGTAAACCAAATGCGAGTAAATCGAGACTATACTGTACCTGCATGTATGTTTTAAGTAATGTTATTCAATGTTAATAAATGGAACACTACAAGTAGTTAACCACTAATGGTGAAGAAATAAAGCGAGACGATTGGGAACGCCAATGCATGTACAGTACATGTGAAAACATATCGTCATTTCTCTACATATGAATATGAAAGCAACACTTATTTACTGTTCATATATGTTTTAAATGATACTTATGAATGTAAAACAAAAATTCTACTTACCAATGGTGATAAAGACTAAAACATAAGGACAGCCAATGATGTTGTGCAAGTTTTTACTCAGATGACCAAGTCATCTGGTTCAACTCTGGCTGAAGCTGTAGCTTTTCATAAAGCTGTTGCTGAAACTGTTACTGAACCTGAAGTTGATGTTGAAGCTGCTTATGATGCTGAATTTGATGGTGTAGCAGAAGTTGATGGGTTAGGCCTTCGAATAATAAAGCTGTCAAAAGAACCTTGCACAGCTGCTTTTTTTTTCTCATTATACATCTTTAAGTAGAGGTCATTTGTATTTTTTTAAATTTTAATACTTTGTTCTGTTAATGGATCCACTTCAGAAAATATGTTCATATCTTGCTCCATATAATATCCACAGACCTCTCACCTTTTTCATATCGTTTTTACACCTTGTTTCTCGGCTAAGCTTACACATTTTCTATTAGCTTTTGAAACAACACTACCATCACTTGCTCTCTTGCTCATGTTGAATAGGGATGCAAAAATGCTGTAAGAAACCTGAGAAAGTTTTTCTCTTTTTCCTGTTCAGATGCATGAAAACAAAGGGCCCGCCAGCTCAATTGTTTATACTAGTAATGCTGGCGTCACTATTAACAAGCCCGGCAGCCTCCGTGCGCAAGACGTGTATTTTTTTTTATAATATCAGGATTTAGTTATTATTTATATGAAAATGAAATATTTTTTTTTATTTCGTTGTAAATAAAAAGAATATAATGGCGTAAATTGAATTGGGTCCTAAATTAACCAGGGTCTTAGATATGAATCTTGTTAGTTGAACCGTTGTTATCGGAGGCTTTACTGTACAGTATTTTTTGTTGTAACTTATTTATTGGTATTATTTTTATTTAGTCCTCACATTTACTTTCACTGGCTATATGATTTTAAGAAAACTATGACTGCAGCAGGAAATACACACTAAAGGTTTTTTTCCTAAATATGGTAATTCCCAGTTCCCACTCTGTAAAAGTGGACAATGTGAAGGGTATCCAGCCATAAAACTTACTAAAAATTTGCTTGATGGCAACTGAGATACCATGCCATCAGGTACTCACAGGCAATCTAATGACGCCCCCAAAAATTACTGTAAAATGGTGATGATGATGATGTCTCACAAAATGTTTAAATGAAAAGAATAACCTGATAATTGCCTATTTACTGGATGATTTATTCTTACCTAATGGCGGTTTAAGATATCTTCTCTCAATCCCTTCTTCGAGTGCTAAAAGTCTATCCCTGCCAACATGGATGGGATTAAGGCGAGTATCATTCTCATCCACTGGCTGAAGACAAGATGCACGAAATTCTCCAACATGTTTGTCTCCACTATCACCTAGGCGCCAACTCTGTGTGAATATATATCAAGATAGAGTACTAATAAAGGTGAAATCTAAAGAATACACATCCCTGCCATATATGAAAGAACAAAGCAAGAAAATTTCACATTAAAGCTGAGGGGAAGAAACAGATATTCTGAGACAAACCACAAAAAGGAGCATTGATGTTGAAATTGCTTTTCTGCCAGATACCATAGTCAAGCAACTCTTGCTATTTAGAGAGATTTACTAGGATTCCTTTGTGTCTGCAAGGGTTGCTCGGTCAGTAAATATCTAACTGCAGAGCCAGCCTCAAATGAGTGGAGGTGCAGCAGTTACCTATCCATCCAAAAGGGAAAGAGATGAGAAGACCGGAAGTCTACTTTGAGCCAGTGTCTAACCAATGAGAAACCATCATGTCAAGACACTTGTTCTGTTCATTGAAACTAGGGAAATCCAGATTCCCAAATCAAGAACATATTAATTCCAAATGACTAATCATGTTCACCATCTCAGAAATATACAGCAGTACAAGTAATTAAAAAAAAACGAGATTCCAAATTAAAGAATGGTAAACAGTGTGTAATTAAGAGGTAAGAGAGAGGGATGACCCTCTTAGCTAAAGCTGGCATAACATATCCATAAACTAGACTGAATTTCCCAGCTTTTGAAATCATATTAATCATAGTCAAGAGGAGGGTTATAGAGATTCATTGAAGATAAATTATACATTCCAACTTTAACTGCAATTATTTAAAAAAAATTATTTTGGTGTATTTGTCACTGTTCCCTAATCTCCTGATATGCTCTGCTTTTAAAGAGAGAATACAGAATTGAACTAACCCTCCACATTTGAAGGTTTAATATCATAAGACAGTACTAATATGCTTACTAAAACAATAAAGTGTACCAATTACCTTATTCTGCATGGATGCATTGGTTATTTTTTCCTCCATTGCATACACAGTATCTAGGATGAGAAAATCCACTTTGAGAGCAATGTCAGGTAACCAATGGGAAGGTTCATCAGCCACAGGGGTGCCATGTTCATCATACACAACTTTCTCACCATCCTCAGCCTCAGGATCCAGGGTCACAGCTTCAGAATCAATCTGATGCAAGAAAGTTTTGTTTATTCTGTTGTAATTACCATCTAGGAAGATAAATTTTACTTTTAAAAAATAGGTCATGATATAGTACAGTAAAACACAGGCACAGACATAGCATCACACACACGAGCTTAATAAAAGTGAAATAAGAATACTATATATTCAACCCATGACTTCATGGTCTCCAATATAATATCCATACAGTATACTGTACCACAATCAACCAATTTAGATTATCTCTGACTGACCCTCACACTAATCTCACACCTGCCCTATGCATAGTTACCATAGCCATTCTGAGAGGTCAACATATCCCGGGAAGTGTAATTACAATAAACCACACAAAAAAAGATAAAGAAAAGTTGTCACCTTGTACAATGCATGATACAGTATCTATTATGAATGAATATACAGTAATATTGAAATTAACTAACCACATTATAAAAAAATGTGATAAAACTGTAGTAATGCATCGAGAAGTTCATGTGAACACATCGAGTGTGGGTGGTAGGCCTCATGTGCCATGCTCAGTTACAGCTCAGTAAGAGAGACTCATATGAGAAGAGCACTCGCTATACAGAATCCCAGTTATCCAGCACGTATGGGGATTGAGAGGTTCTCTATACAGAGATTTTCCGGTTAATTGAATCTCACTCTTAGGATTCCCAAATAAATCCTTCAGTGAACAGTGCTACAGGCTGCCCTCGTGAATTCGTGTCTCAGAAAAACAGACTTCTTCAACACTTATTTCATTCTATATAAACAATATGACTTTGAAATAAAGAAAATATATATATAACTATAAAATAAGAAAAATGAAGAGCATGGATGTGTATATGTGGAAAGTCAATAAGTGTGGAGGCAGAGGGCTATAACTGCGTGGCCACGCTCCCTCCCAATGTGACGGCATGGCATATAGGTAGTCCCCGACTTACGACTGCTTGGACTTACGTCCATCGGTACTTACGACCTGCTCTGACCTTACGACCGTCGGGACATACGACCGCGGCAGTCGTGACCAAAAATATTTTAAAATGACGCGCGCATTTTCTATACCGAAAAGTTTCTGTCCCGGGCGAGAGCGTGGGTGCACTCACTCAGTAGAGCGCTTAGTTGGTGTTTGGCTACCATATCCTATAAACTGATCGCGTTGTGAACTTTCGTTATTATCGTATTTAATTGACTTTATAATGACTGGAAAGCGTAAAAGTGAGAGTGCTGGTGGTGCTCCAAAGAAAAGGAGACAGGCAATTACTTTTGAGATGAAAATGAAGATAATAACTCAGCATGAGAATGGAAAGACTGTAGAAACAATCTCACATGACCTAGGTTTCTCACACTCCACCATATCCACTCTTCTGAAGGACAAGGAACATATTCGTGATGTAGTGAAAGGTACAACACCAATAAAGGGAACTATAATTTCAAAGAAAAGACAAGGTCCTATTCACGATATGGAAAAATTATTGATGATATGGATAGAAGACCAGATACAGAAGTGTGTACCCTTAAGCCGTCTAACCATACAGGCTAAAGCAAGAAGCCTGTTCCAAAACCTGAAGGAGCAGGCAGGAGATGAATGTAATCAAACCTTTACAGGAAGTCATGGGTGGTTTGATAGATTTAAAAAATGCTACACAATGTCTACACAATGTTAAGGTGAGTGGAGAGGCAGCTAGTGCCGATGTTGGTGCTGCCGAAGCTTTTAAGGAGGAGTTAGATGAAGTGTTTGTGGAAGGGAATTATTTGCCTGAACAAATATTCAATGTGGATGAGACTGGATTATTGTGGAAGCGCATTCCTGACCGGACATACAGTTTCAAAGGAGTTAATGAAAATGAAGTTATTTCAGATATTAGTAACAAGATAGTGGAGTTAGGTGAACAGCTGGAGTTAGAAATTGATAATGAAGATGTTGAACAGTTGGTTGAAAGTGTAGCAGAAGAGCTCAGTAACGAGGATCTTATTGAACTAGATGCACAGAAAATTGCAGAGGAAGAAGAGAGACAAAATGTAGAAGAAGAACCTGCACCCCCCAAAAAGTTTTCAGTGAAACAAATGGCAGAGGCATTTGCTACAATTAATAAAGGAATGCAAATGTTTGATGGCATGGATCAAAATTATGAGCGTTATGCCAAAGTTGACAGAATGATCCAAGATGCACTTGCTTGCTACAGAGAGATTTATAATGAAAAGAAAAAACAAACTGTGCAGTCTAAATTGGACACCTATTTCAAGAAATCCCCCAGTACTGGCTCCTCACGCCCCACCAGTGCTGCCTCTTCACTCCCTCAAGATGATCCAATACCTTCAACCAGCAAGTTACCCCAGCACATAAACCTGTCTGAAGGAAGCGACATTGATGACCCACCCAGCCCTGTCTCCTCCTCTGCTTCATCCAATTAATATAGTCTCCATGTATCCTGTAAATAGAAAATTATGGGGGCCCCGTGTGCATTCAGCTGACTACATTAAAGGTAAGTGCTCGGTCACATTGTATCCATTCCTCATTATTTATTACTTTTACTGTACTGTATTTCATTGTAGATGTAAAAAAAAAAAAAATTGAAATTATTATTATTATTTATTTTTTTTCTATATCGGACTTACGACCATGTCGGACTTACGACCATGTCGGACTTACGACCATGTCGGACTTACGACCTGGATTTGGGTCCCTAACCCCGTTGTAAGTCGGGGAGCACCTGTATACACAACCAGCCAATTGTCTGCGAGTCAGCTGGGTGACTACCTGAACTGTATCATGTTGCTCAGAGGATGGTTTGGGTGTGGAAGGAGCTATTTTTTTTTTCATAAAATATGTGCAATTGTATCTTATGATATGCTATTTATTGATTTTGTTTATCATAGCAAAAAAATATGGCAGCTGATCCCCATTGGTCGCAGTACTCAAACTTATGATTAAAGCTGATTTTAGAAGAATTTTTATTTGTATTATCATTATTACAGTATTTCATTTTGGTCCTGGTTAGTTGAATCTGCCGTGATAGTGATAGTGAGGATATGGACTTTGAGGGGTTTGACAAAGAGGCCTTGCAAGTCTCTGTGGTGGATAGTGATACAATTGATACAGGTGAGGGCCAATAATCTGCCCTCTGCCTCGGAACCAACCCCCCATTCCTGGGTGCTCAGCCATCTTTTCTACTAACATAAGTGTTAAAAACCTAATGTAATTGAAATTTCTCTTAAATATTAATTAATATATATATATAAGATATATATTTATATATATTATGTAGTATATATATTCAATAATATATATATATATATATATATATATATATATATATATATATCAATTGACCGAGTAAATAAGACTATAATATATATATATAATATACTTTTTCCGACATAATACATACTTTGTAGTAAATATAACATCTTAATTTTATGATGGTATGCATATATATATATATATATATATATATATATATATATATATATATATATATATATATATATATATATATATATATATATATATATATATATATATATATATATATATATATATATATATATATATATATAGTATAGTCAACCCTCACTTTACGTGGTCCCACATTCCGCGTTTCCACGTTTACACGGTGCCCTGCCAGAACCCAGGATGCTCATATTCCGCGGTGGGTGTACCCCTTTAAGCGGGTGAAGTATAATTTTTTTTTATTTAGCTCATAAAATTCATACAAATTATCCGGCCAGAATATAATTTACATTGCTGGAATTCTTACAATTTGATGATCATTTTGAATATAAACATCATAGATTTTGCATTAGACATACAAATTTTAGATATAATGTTTACTCTGAGTAAATATGTTATCTTTTGTGCAAAATATATGACATTTATATTCAAAATATTTCTGGTTTTACAAGGAATCCAGCAATGTCAATTATATTATCCTAACTTTAGTCTGATTTATTATTTATTACTAAAAAGGTAAACAGTCTGGTATTCCCACACATTTATTTGGTAGGGAGGGTTGGTGGTGGGTGGGAGGGAGGGAGGGAGGGACCGGCGACCGACCACCTGGCACGTGTGAAGAATATTTTTTTTTTTATTAACTGAAGATATTTGTTTTCGCTCATAAAATTCATACAAATTACCCGGCCAGAATATAATTTACATTGCTGGAATTCTTACAATATGATGATCATTTTGAATATAAACATCATAGATTTTGCATTAGACATACAAATTTTAGATATAATGTTTACTCTGAGTAAATATGTTATCTTTTGTGCAAAATATATGACATTTATATTCAAAATATTCCGGGTTTTACAAGGAATCCAGCAATGTCAATTATATTATCCTAACTTTAATCTGAGGTATTATTTAATACTAAATGTTAAAATCTAGTTTTTTCACCCAACCTTTCTCTTGAAGGGAGGTTGGTGGGGGGTGGGGGGAGGGTTGGGACGGACCGACCATCTGGCCCGGTTGGAAGAGGGGGGGAGGCAAGGTGGGGTACTTTGATTGACAGATAGTGTCGTGAAGAACATTTTTTTTTTTTAACTGAAGATATTTGTTTTAGCTCATAAAATTCATACAAATTACCGGGCCACAATATAATTTACATTGCTGGAATTCTTACAATTTGATGATCATTTTGAATATAAACATCATAGATTTTGCATTAGACATACAAATTTTAGATATACAGGTTGTACCTCTCTAGTCCGGCATTCTGTGGTCCGGAAACTCCCGTGGTCCGGAACGATTTTAGTTTGTCCAATAGGTAGATAGGCAGGCTTTTTTTTTTTACTTATCTGAATTATTATTATTATTACAGGAGTATTAAATTTTTGCCCCTCAGGCCCCAATGTGGGTCAGTGACCTATGCCCGGGTGGGCTAATCCCCTTAAAAAAAAAAAAGCCGCGGGAAATTAAGGTTTGTTTACATCCGGCAGTTCGGCTGCTCTCTCTCTCTCTGCTTGTCTATACAGAGTACAACATTTAACCCTTCAATATATATGAG